TCAATTGAAGGCAAAAAGATGATTAATGTTACCGTGACACACCTATCTCAACATTGAATATGGCCTTTCAATAGAATCACAGAAGCTACTTAAATAAGTGTTAATAAATGGATATAGAGTTTAAATATTGATGCTTTTTGAATACATAAATGTTTTAACAACCCTATGTTCAAATCCTTAAAAGGTCTGTTTAAAAGTTGAAGGCAAAAAAAGACTTCTGATCAAATCCTTCATGTTGACATGGGTTTTCTTCAGTGTTAGAGGTAAATAATCTCTCTAAACACAGGGACAGGGAGGTTGGTCAGAGCTGATGGAAAAATAGAAGAAACTAAATACATAACAACCCTATCATGCTCCAAAATTGTGTTCTGTTCTGTCCTGTTCTATTCTAAATAGGACAAGTTTAGAGTTAAATTCATAAATCATTGTATGATCAGGAGGCTTTAACCATCAAAAGGCTCCACTCTAACGGAGTAGATCTGTGTTCTTCACCCTCATTATAACAGCATGGGTCACAAAGCAGGCCGCTTGCTTACATAATTACAGTGCATGACTGCAGCCAACAGAGGGTCTTTTCTTTGCTACGTGAAACAAAAGCAAATCATTTGTTTTTTTTTTGTTTTTTTTTTTAGAGCTAAAGAAATCTCCTGCTTAGATATTCGAGATGATACGCTTAAGAACAACATGCTTCCAGTTAAACCTGGAACGCCTCCATGTAAATCATTTTTTTCCTCTGGCTGATATCGCATAAGGGTAGCAGACATGAGCCAAGTTTATGGATCAAGGGTTATTCACAAGAAGGCTCAGCCAAGCAAAGGCTGACTACTGAACATGTGGTTTTAATTTCACTATAACTATAACCATTTTATCCAACATAGTTTATTGGAGCTCAGCTCTTCAAGTTTTCATTCATTTGAGTCATCTATAAAATAGGGGATAAGCTTTTTCCACTGAAATCCAACAATCTTATTCCAGTAATATAAGAAGTAGGGAAACACCTTCTCTGGATTTGCTTGCATAGTTAACACATGATGATTCCCAAAATGTTAAACCACAAAACCTTTATTGGTTAAGGTACTGCTAAAAATAGTCAGATTGTCATCTTCCCTCTGGTTTCTCTTTCAGGATTCACTTTGAGTTGGCTGCAGGTCCTGCTTGGAAGCTGGTCTCTGCAGAGTTATGGGGGGGAATTCAGCGGAACGTGGTGCAATCTTATGAAGGAAGTGCTTGTTTATATCTGCAGCTTCTGCTGGGAAAAGAACACATAGAACATTAAATTTATGTTGTCTCGTTGGTAAAAAAAAAAAAAAACATTTGATTCATGATGTTCTCACCAGTTTGTAACGAGTATGAAAAAATAATCTGCAGCGGAGTAGCTTAGCTTGCATCGGAATAAGAAAAGAATTAAGAAATGGCATAAATTAGACACTTCATTTTGACTCTGAAATTAATATTAAAATAATTTTGCTAGCAGTTACCTGGTCTGTGTAGAAACCTTCTTGAAGTGGGTTATTATAACAGAAGGGTTTTCTGATAGTTCAATTGTTGTATTTTCTCATAGTTTTAAGTTTATTGCTCCTTCCTGGTACAATAAGATCATTATTGTTGTGTAAAACAATGGAGACATGCATCATTGAGTAGAGAGAAATGAAAGAGTCAGTAGGTTCAGCTTTTAGCACAAAATTTCAACAATACCACTTTGGAAAAGTATGAGAACCTGTTAAACTTTCACTTGTTCACTCTTTATAACTGATTGGGTTTTAAGAGCAAAGAGTAGAAAGAGAAGTGGAGAACAATTTTATTTTACACTAATAACATGTGAAGCAACATTTATGGAGGCCTTCCAGGAGAAACACTCTTTATGTCCTACCATAACAAAAACGTGACGTTTGCTAAACTACTGGGGCTTTAAGATAAACTCTGGGCTTTGCTTGGATGTGACTAACACCTGAGGTTTTCAGAAACAGGAGTCTGAAGTTGGTGTTAAAAAAAGGATAAATATAGAAAAACGGTTATTGTTATTGTGAGATCAATAAAGTCAATGAATTGATCAAGTCAGGTACAGTGGAGGATATAAGGAAATTTCTCAAATAATTGAATTGCATCATACACTTTTATAAACTGGTCATCTATGGGTCATTGATCAGGCTAAAAGAAGCACAATGACCAAGTAAGAAATGTTATATATATATATATATATATATATATATATATATATAAATGGGTAAATGCTTATCTTTGAGAAGGTTTTAGAAGCGTGCCGTTGTGTTTGTATTTGACTCTGTTAAATGTCTCCTCTACCTCTCCATACTGACGGGGTGGAGGAGAGTGGCCCACTTTATCATTTCCTGTCCTGTAACTTTCTTCCATTGTGTCCCTGCACAATGTGTCCTCGACACAACTCCCTTCCTGAACCTGTGACCGTACGCTGAGCCGAACCCAGCCTTCATGTTCTTTTCCTTCAGTAGGATCCCTTGCCAGTGTGGCTTGGATCTACGGTGGAAAATCCACAGGGAGTGAGCTCACATGGGCAGGGACAGGCAGGAAGCTGTATTTCCCTGCCATGCCTGACCTAAAAGTTATCGTCATACCTGCATCATCAAAATCCAGGAAGTGGGCTTGAGGGCAGTACTGAAAGGAAAGCTGATTAGGTAATTTATTCTGATTACTTCTATGGAGCATTTAATGAAAATGATAATAATGTATATATTTTGAAAGAATCCTTAAATTAATACAAGATCACAAGTTATATAAGCTTGAAGATGTGCAGTAAGATAAAATAATTATAGAATTGCTTAATAAAAGAAATGTAGTTTAATACTGCTCGCACTCGTCATCTTCTGCTTTATCCAGGAACAGGTCACAGGGCAGCAGTCTCAGCAGAGACAATAAAAATAATAATAAGAAAAATAATAATAATCCATTTAATTTATAAAGCACTAACAGATCTCAAAATACTATTAAGGAAAAGTCAAAACAGAGAAGAGCACACACCATGTCAAGAATAATTTCAATGGAGCAACAATAAAACAAGATAAGATCCTAATAAAACCTTATTGGTAGGAATTAAAAGGTTTTTATTCCAAGGACTTTAGGAGCTCTGAGTTAGGCTGGGAGGGAATTCCACATCCGTGGTGCTGCAGCCCTAAAAGCTCTGTCCCCCATCATCTCCAGCTTTGTTCTGGGTGAACTGAGGGGATGAGCGTTGGTGGAGCGGAGCTTTCTGCTGCCTCTAGGTGAATGCAGACTCCAGGACTTCCCTCTACTGCCTCCTATTAATGCAAAGAGAGAATATGACATCAGAAATTAGATCACTTTGTTTCACTTCCCTCATTTAATATTTTTTGGTAAACACTCACCATCATGACCACTAGCAAAAACAAAATGAGTCACCATTAAGTATTCCAGAAACAGCCTCTCCACTACCCTGATCATTTTTAGCTCAAAATGTTCCGCTTCTATGATTAAACTGTTGCTGGTGTGTGGTATGAAGTAACCAAAAGATTTGAATGTTTTTATCTTCAAAAAGTCTTTGCTCTCTTTAGCTGATGAACCTTTAAATAAATGGTTAGATGGACTTTCAAAAAAACAACCGACTGGTTTCTTATGAATGAGGAAGAAACTTCTAAATAGTTCTCATACAGCTTTGGTTTCTCTCCAACCTCTATTATTGCAGCAGTGTGTTGATACCCTGATGGTCAAAACAGTTTCTGAAAACGCGGGAGACTTTAGTGAAATCAAACCAATATAAGAAGAACATTAACTAACTGTTATTAAATAAATATAGTGTAAATATATGTTTGTATGAAAAAAAAACTAATACATTTTTGATAAATGGTGGATTAACAGAAGCAGATTTTCCACAGGCAATATATGTAGTAAGAGTCGTCAGACAAAATCAAAGTATGTACAGGCTGTTTCCTTGGATGGATGACCCAATTAATCACAGATCAATCAGTTAACCAATCAGTTAACCAATCAGTCATTCAGGCTTTCTATTTTAAGGCACAACCCAAACAGCCAAAATCTAAACAACTAAAGATTTCTTGCACTCACATCTTAATAGTGCATTATTAAGAAAATAATTAAACCTAAACCTTTTGGTATTTAATCCAATTTAATGTTTTACTGATTTCTACGGAAGAGGATTAGGGCCACTGGGAAAAAAAAAAAAAGTTAACTAATTTTTAAATTTTATTTCAGTTTAGTATGGGAAAAAAGTCAGAATTCTGACTTTAATTTTAAAAATTCTGACTTTTTTTACTGTCAGAATTCAGTCAGAATTCTGACTTTTTTCCCATATTAAACTGAAATAAAATCTAAAAACCAAAAATCATTTAAAAAAAAAACTTTTCTTTTCAATGTCCCTAATCCTCTTCCGTAGTTTTTCAATTAAATTAGTAAAGTTGTAAATTACATTCGAGAATTGAGAGAAAATATTTGCTGAAGTAGTTATTTAAAGGAGATTAACGTTTTTTTTTTTTAAATCGACGAATATTTTATTTTGCATGATAAAAGGTCTTGTTAATTTAATAATAGCAGTTAAATAAATTATTTTTAAAATTAAATTTTTTTCTCAGAACTCAGGTGGTGAATTGTAGAACAAGGATCAAAGAATGTAGATGTAAAATTATATTAACCAATTGCTACATTAAATATTTATTTAAAACAATCTTCAATGCAGTTAGTCCAACTTTCATTCAAATGTTGTTGGAAGATAAATATTTAATAGGAAATGTGACAGCGGGATCTGACGTCATAGTCCTCTAATTGAGATATTTAGCAGAAATAAATTAAGACTTTGTATCCTGACCCTGCATAGAAGCAGGGAGCTGACCAAAACAACTCACCCATTGTGGCATTGCGCGCGCGCGTTGTGCATGCAGCAAAGATGTGTGCGGAGGTGGGCGGGACCTGGTGACGTCAACCCGGTTGGTGTGTGAGCGTGTGTGACCGTGAATTCAGGCGGAGCAGATAGAGGATGGAGGACTGGAACGAAGGGACGGAGAAGCAGCCGCCTCACATATCACCTCGACAAAAACCCGTCCACGCGTGACGAATCGTGTTAAATCCACGCTAAGAGTTCGGATTGCATTTCCTCTCTTTCCTCGTTTTGTCGCAGGCAGCAGCTGCGCGTCGCTTCGCTTCTCCTGGCGGTGAAAACAGAACCGGCTCTGGCTTTTATGTGCATGGAGAGAAAATCCTGTTAAAAAAGGGGGGGGAAAAAAAAACAATCACAGCAACATTTCACGCGAGGTTTCACACCTTCTTCCTTAACAGTCACGGATCCCGTGGAAATGGATGAAGACAATCATGGTAAGAATGGTCTGACTGGTT